TTCTGATGCTGCGACAGCTTCAGATGCATTCGTGGCTAGTGGGACGCTGGGAGTAGTACCAAAACTTGGCAGAACTTCCACATTCTTGATAATTAGTGTCTTCTCCGGTTGTACGCTTGTTTCTATCAACTCTTCAGCCTTTTTCCCTTTTTCTGTTTTGAGCTGCGTTCGCCGCTGAGTCTGTAGACGCCGCGTAGATAGCGGCGTGACGCCTTGCATATGAGGGATTCCTTTCGGCGAGAAATTGAGCGTTCGTACATGTGAAGTACGCTTGCGAGGTGTGGAAAGACTGCGAAATGCTTTAACATTCACAATGCCTGACGTGGAAGGCGTCACGCGCTCCAGGACCAGACGCGATGAGTCTAGCGAGGCGGGCACAGCACTCGCGCTGGCCACTTTGCTCGAAGAGCGCTCGAGCAGACTCGTATTTCCGGCCACTGCCTTAGCTTGATCGGCAATTAGTTGTGCCGGTGGTTCCACTGACGGTTCCTCCTCTGTTGTTGGGGGCTGTTTAACGGCGCTATTGATAATTATTGAATTGGGTGGCAGCTGATTGGCAGCAACTGTAATTGGTTCCGGCAGTGGTATCTCAATATGAGAAACGTCCATGTTGGTGAATGTATCAGAGCGCAGTTGCTGCGCCAACCACTCGTTATTCACCAGAAACGGCAAATGCGAAAGCAGCCCTTCATTTGATAGAAACATGGGAAAAGTTAGCTGGCCATTGGTTGCGTCCACGCACACCTGGCCACCGTTTACAGCCGCGACACTGGCAACAGAGTCCGGATCTGTCATAGTAGAGCCACCATCAGCAAAGTTTATGAGATTCTCGCTACCAAAGCTGAGGTTTCCTGTCGGCTGCTGCTGGTGCTGCTTTTGTGCACTCTCGTTCGAGTTGAGCACTATGAGTTTGGATATACTGAAATTGGGATCAATCAGCGTGCCAATCGAGCTGTTTGCATTTAGAATGATGGCATTTCCATTGTTACCATTCCCCATATTAATATCTCCATTGGCATTCACAGACGCCGCGGCCGCATTCGCCGATGCCACCGCTGTACGAATTATAAGTGGTGTTTGCGGTGGTGCAGGCACAACTTCAGCTGCTGCTACTGGCACTGGTGCTTCTACTGCTGTGGGTATGGGCTCATCCGCAGATGTATCCATGCCTACCACTTCCTGAATGATGCGATCAAATGATGGGTCCTTCTCAGTGGCCTCCAATATATTTCTTACCAGACCATCTAGCACTGCCTCTGAGTTTACAGATTCTGCCGTGGGTGCATGTACCGTAAGTGATTGCAGAGCCGTGTTTATATTGCTTAGTAATTTATTTTGGAATTCGTGATTGGTCATGATGGCTTGCGTTATTTCCTGAAATGTCCAAATATGTTGTTATTATATACTCTTGCATATAAATCTTAATTTATACGCTTTCTCGCATAATATCTTTGAGCTTACTTACTGGCATTGTCTGTGGCATTGGCATCATTAGCTCAGATTCTTCACTGCTGGTTATGCGAGGAGTGGAATTATTTTTGGGTCCATGCCCATGGCGAAAATGTAGCGGATCATCTGTCTGTTCACTCGTAAAGTCGCTGGTTGTGCTGCTGTCCAGCGATTGGTACTCCTCTATGTGATCGGTGCGTCCAATGCTGCAGTACAGATGCGGATCCAGTAGCCGAGGACGTTTACAGTTAAAACGCTCTGAGGGTGATCGTGGGACTGGGTTCGCCTGCTCTCCATCCAATGGCAATGAATTTACGCGTCTAGTATTAAAAGCAGTGAGTACCTTCTGAAAAAATGTAAATTTAAAACTACTTACACGCGGCGTCTCTTACGTGTGTGTTGTGTATTGGGATTCGTATTTCGCATACAAGCGGTACTATCTTTGTTGCATGTTGTTGATGTTGTTGTTGACCTATTCAGCTTTAATAGCTCGTCAACTCGCTCGGAGAGCTTCAGCTGCTGCAGGCGTTGGCGAGTGTCGTTTGGCAACTTTTTTACAGCATTGGCCACTGGAAAATGAACATCAGTCAAAGGAGATTATATATTTGGAATGAGCTTTGATTTACCCATGCTGGTGATCCTGACGTGTTCTCGTATGATATCCTCCAGGCCGTCATTTAGAAAGTTGTGCGGCTGCAGACCCTGTCGCAAGGCAATAAACTCCTGATGCAGATGCGGTGAGGTGCGACACAATGAAAGTGCCGCACGTCTCAAATTGTTATTTACAAAGTAGCCTGAAAATACGGCAATAACTGTTAATAAGGCATATGATTTTACAATGCAAGAGTTGAAAACCCACCCAAAACGAGACGCGCGATATCCGAATGCAACACAATTGATTCCATTATAATTAATTAATAAAAACTACATATATTTTTTGTGGTATTGAAATTATCGCACATATTTGCAAGAACAAATATATGAATTATTTTTGTTTGTTTGTGTTGATTTCTTCTGTTCTTTTTTTGTTGCGTTATTTTTCGCTTCTCTTTTTTTTTTATTGTTTTGCCGATCCCAACGTTGATGCCGATAATGTTGATGAAATTCGTTAGGTGTTTTCTGTCTATTTTTCTCAATTTGGTTTTTGTTGTTGCTTGAGGGCAAGCCAACTTGAATCCGGCATTTGTATATAAAGCGGATTCTATTTATTCTTCAATCACCGTCGCGCACTGTACAAGGTACCTAAACAACAGCATATGTTTGCCGCCAAAATGTTAATTTGCAGAGCTATCCCACAGATTCTATCGATGGTTAATTGAAAGTTATCGATATGGCTTTTTTAATAGCCAATCAGTTACTCCATAATATTGTATTATGTGATTAGAGTTCACTAGAGCTAATATTTATATATAATAAATTAATTATATAATATAATATTAAGAGTAAACTAATAATCTTGTTTTTTTAGGACTACTATAAATATCACTTTATTGCACAGCGATAATTTTTTAAACCTAATTGATCTGGAAACGCCTGATACTATCAGCAACTTCCAAGGGTTTTTATCTAAAATAAACACAAATGGCTGCCAAAGCAGTTATAGCGGAAGAAAATGATGGCCAGGAGTTTAAAAAGCCTAATTCAACTGTTACAGAAGGTGAAGCAGTTGTCGCCAGCACACAATCCACAGTACCGACATCGGAAAAAACTGATGGTGGAGGACGCAAACGTAAACGCCACATTTTTAATGCGATTCGCGGACAAATGGAGTTTTATTTTGGCGACGCTAATCTCAGCAAGGATCGCTTTTTACGTCGCTATATAGAGAAGGATCCATGTAAGTAAACATGTAAAACTATGAATATATATAATAGATTATTGTTAATGTTTGTAGATGTGCCGCTAGAAATATTTCTGACATTCAATAAAATCAAAACACTTACTCAGGATGTGCAGCAAATATCAACGTCGCTCTCCAATTCTCATTTACTGGAATTAGACGAAAGTGGACTCAAAGTCCGCCGCAAGACTGCACTGCCGGAGCACCGGGACGTCAACAACAAAACCCTTTATGTTGAGGCTCTGCCAGCAACTGCAACACATGACTGGCTCAAAGAAGTTTTTGGCCGGTATGGCACGGTCAGCTATGTATCGTTGCCACATTATCCGGGCACGCGAAAGATAAAGGAATTTGCGTTTATCGAATTTGAAAAGAGCAGCTCCGTGGAGAAGGCTCTGAAGGCCTATTCTCAAATCCAGGGCGTTCTATCCGTGGAGCACACGGACCCCAGTAATTTGGCTAGCATACGGTCCTTCCAGCAGCAGCAGCTCCAGCAAAAAAATAAAACTAGTTTGAATGGGCAAGAATCCGCATCAAAAACAAATGTAGTCAAGCAGCCAAGCAAACGTGAGGCCGATAAAGAAGATATACAGGAGGCCGTGCCAAACAAACGGGCCAAACTTGACACGGTACAAGATCAATGCGAAGCATCCGCTGGAGAATTGTCTAAAGCAGAAAACTCTCAGCAAAGTGAATCTGTCAATAACAACGAGGAACAGAACGAGATTACGAAACAGAAGCGCCGTCGTAAGCAAAAGAAACGAATTCTTGCGGATAAACTTAAGCCAAACATTGAGCCCAGTGCGCTGGAGTTAAAGATATTGCCCAAGACTAGCTGGTGTAGCCTTCGCAACAAGTATCTTAATTTGCAGCGGCGCTTAGTTAGTGAAGCCAAGAGCAAACTCTGGCGCAGTACGCAGGTCCAACAACCAATGCACAAGTGCACAGCTATGAACTTGCAGCTGCAAGCACAGCAGCAGCAGTTGATAGAGTCGAAGGGTATCTGTAACAGCGGTACTAACAGTGGACATGAAGAGCCAGAACAGGTTAGCGATACTGGGGATGTATCGGAAGTACCGGTGCCGCCCAAGCGCCGAAAGCGCAACAAAATTGCTGGCGTTCATAAAATTAATATGAATTTTTATGGCGCGGGTGGCAACGAGGCGGACGAAACTAAATTGGCGGGTCGAACTGAGGATGCGGCACAGGAACGCTCGCCGCTTTTTAAGTACGAGCCGGGTCTCATTGTCGAGTGCACACTCCACGAACCGTGCGTTAACGTAAAGGACTTCAAGGCAGACATGCGACAATACGCGGACATCAAGTATGTAGACATTAAAGAAGGCGACCAGGTTGCGCATTTACGCATGGTCACACCAAATGCCGCTGAAGAGTTGGCTCGTCAGCTCAGCTGTGCTGAAATTCAGCTCAAAGTGTTGCGCGGCCAGCCAGAAACGCAATACTGGCGCAAAATTGAACGGGATCGCGAAGCCAAATTGTCTAAGAAGGTGCGTGTGCAGCAAAAACGCGGTCGTGAAAAAGTCGCTAAGATGTTGGCCAAGCATATCAAGTTTGATGATGTTGTCTACGAGGTGATCAACGACCCGACTACAAGCGCCAGCATTCCATTAGATAATTAATGTAATTATCAAGTTTTGCAAAATATACAATGAACTGAATTCAAAGATATGTATCTGAATGCATAGAAATGTTTAACAAAAAAAAATTTTTACATTTTATTTATATAGACGAGTCTCCTCCTATACATTTAGTGAACTGCTTAAGAACAGTATTGGAAGATATTTTCATACCCTCTATCTTAGATATTTAAAATGTTGAGTACATTTTATCTATATGTCTAGAGATGCAAAAATGTTTTTGTGGAAATTAGCCAAAAGGTATTTATCTAAATTATAACTCAAATTTACTTAAACATTAATGTTTATTCATTTTCGATTAGTTTTCTTTCACTTATTCAGTTAAATGTTCGTCCGTCATGTTCTTAATTTATAGATGATTTTAATAAATGAAAGTGTCGTAAGTTTCAAATTGAATTTGTATAAAATGCATTTTAGGTAATTCCCCCAGCGGGGTTGTTCCTCGGATTAAATGTAGAGCGAGCCATCGGCAGGGCCCAAGTAGTGCATGGATATCAGGAGCACATCGATGATTGTCCACACGCCGAGACCCCCAAAGCTGAACAGCTTGCCAATGCCCTCCTGCCAGTGGCCCAAATAGAAACGGTCAGCGCCAAAGCCGCCCAAAGTAAGGCTGATGAGTAACGCGGTGCTCCAGCGATAGCCCTGAGTCCAGTTACAGCGCAAATTACGAGTAAACGAACGGCTCCCCAGACAAAGCACATCCTGGTGCACAGTGCAATTAGTGCGATAGTATTTCTCTGCAGCCGAGTTGCAATTGGCATGTTGTTCACAGTTCTGTTGCCACATTTCGGTTTGATAGCAATAGCGACAATTCATTTGACGTTGAAACGAGCGTTCTCCACTGCATTGTACATTGTTGGCTGCCTCGCATATGATGTTGATATCGCGGCCGTACAGGCAATTGAAGTTGTAAGTGCAGCGAATGCATGGGAATGGCAACCGTTCACAGGGTGTTTCCTTATCCAAGGGGCATAGCATGCTCGTGGTGTTGTTGCCGTTGTTGTTGTCGCCAGCTGCTGGAGATTTGCTGCCCAGATTCGCCAAGGCTGGTACAAACACTACATTATCGTTGTTATTATTATTTCCTGCATTGCTGTTCTCCTTGCGCGGATCACCTTTCATATCCGCTAGATCCATTTGGTTGCCACCGCTGGCGGTTTCGCTGTTTCTTATGCCGGTCAATACGAATATGATGATTAGCACTATCGCCGAACGCATATTCACTACAATACACTCTCGCTGCTGTCCCATTTTTGCTAATAAGTGCTAGTTTATAAAGCGAAGTTTCTCGGTTTTATTCCAGTTGTAAAAGCGATAGCAACCATTGCATCGATACAGTGATAAGTAATATAGTCGATGGTTTCGAAAATGGCATCGACATATTCGTGTATTGCGTCTGGGCACGCACATTTGCATAAACCTTTGCATCAAAGTATGTATTAAATTTATTTAAACAAATAAATTATAAATTTGCCGCATTTGGCACCAAATGAAAAAAATTACGAGTTAAAATATCTATCGATATATCGATACACAGACCAAGTTTCTTGAATGACGGGTAAATACTTCATGTTTTGATTTTGTCTTGCAATTCTCTAATCAAAATGTCTTATTCTGGCAGAAATAATACTCAGACATTCCGTGTGAATGTGCGTCTGCATAGATTCGGAGCTAAATTCCCAGGCCCCTTTCCAGACATAAGTCGTCCTGAGCCAATTGGATTCTATAGCGTTAACGAATCACGAGAATTCGAGGACAATGCCAAGAATTTAAGATTCCTTTGGCTGCCATCTCCTAGCGAAATGCCACTGGATCTCAATGCAGGCATTGAAAATGTGCAGCGCAAAAGCATTGACCCTGACTACCTCGATATATATCACATCTGTCAGTTCATCTATAATCATCAAGAGCATCTGCGCACCTCGTCCACAGGGCAAATGGAACTACTCGCTGATTTTGTCACTTTTCGTGGTGTTCTTCGCCAAATTATGTGCACACCATACCAAAGGAATCGTGACTATCGTCTTATGGCAACATGCCTAAACGGCACCACCTACATATCCAAAGTAGAAACTAGTGACCAGCGAAACCAAGCAGAGCAGATGACACGCCGTGAAATGGACATGTGCTCATGGGGCTTTAAATTCGAGCAGTATTGCACAACGCCCCATCCAGACAAACAACCTGTTACAAATGCACCTGTTAATGAATCCCAAGAGTTTGCATGTGTCTATCGTAGCAAATTAAATGGCCTGCGTCTAATCTACGGCGCGGAGATGGACTGCATTAAAAGTGACGTCTATGTGTATGTTCTCTGCGTAAGATATGTATCTCTGCATACCATGTTTTAATAAAACCTATACTTCTTCTCAGCGACCTGAAAGATCCGGAACAGCTACGCTTGGCAGAGTTCGTAGAGCTTAAAACAGCTGCATACAAAATGACCCAGAGGCAACAGCAGACCTTTGCTAATTACAAGAGTCTCAACTGGTGGAGCCAATCGTTTTTGGTTGGTATCGACACTATTATAACTGGATTGCGGGATGACAATGGACTGGTTCACGATATTAAAGAGTACAGCGTACGCGAACTACACCGCCACAAGCCTTGGAGCTCGGCAGCCACGGGCACATTCCTCTCAAACTTTCTGCACGAACTCAAGGCAATAATGCATCGTATTAACGACTCTAACGCTGTAGTTATGATCGACTACAAACCGGCTCTGAATAAGATTCAATACTCTGTGCTACGCGGTCCAGATGTGAAGCCCATACTGCCTGAATGGTATCGCCAAATGATGCAAGGTAGCTCAATTAGCATTGCTGGTTCAGTGTAAAAGTATATTACTTAATATATAATATATTTTCTTAAATCTAATTTTTAAGTACTAATCCTTATTTTAGATCGTTGGTTTCTAGCAGGGGTACGAAAGTTTCTGTTGCTTTGCTCGCATATATCGGGAACTCCGGACTGGAAGGCAGTGAGTTAGCGACTCGTCGTCTATCTGTAGCGGTGGATGCCACCAGATGAGCGCCTGGGCACCCATTGCTTTCGCGCTTTTCAATGACACAGTCGAAGAATCGGGATAACTTAACCGCATCAGTTGTACCCGCAGCTAAGCTGCGTGTATCCCGACAGTTTAGCCATATTTCCTCGGCGCCACATTTGTCGGCTACAAACAGAAAATATAGATAAATTACGGGAGACTTTAACTACATCTGATAACCTACTGACCTATACCTCCGACCTTTTTAACAGCTGTTTTGGGTTGACGTTTCTCATCGATCAAATCTAACTTGGTGCCCATAACTAAAATAGGTATTTGTGTAGCGCCTAAGAACTCTTCTAAATCAAACCGCATGCTGGTATCCGTGCCATAGCCGTGCAGCGGCGTCGGCGACGGCGGCGAAGAGGGGCTGCGGCATTTGTACGTATCTTTGCCATCCTTATTGACAATCTCGAAGAGCCAGTCAAGTAGTTGCTCCTGCGACTTGCCATTCGTTAGATCATGCACCAAGATAATTCCATGTATGCCACTGTAGAAAACGCTTCGCGTATTTTTGTGACTTAGTGAGCCACCTATGTCAAACAATTCAATAAAATATGGGCACTGTCGGGCCGTGCCTTCCTTGAATTCGTGAATTTTAACTTGAATGTTGCAGCCAACTGTCCAGCCCGGCCGTATTAACGACTCATTGTGGGCAACTAAGTGGGTTAGGCATGTTTTTCCAACACCTAGAAACATTAAAGTCATTTGATATTCAAATATAGTCAAAATACTCGATAATTACCTGAATCACCCACAACTACGATGCGCACACGCTTATTCATTGCCAAGTTGTCGTGGCAATCAACAATCAAATTATTGTTTCATTATGCTTTATTGTGGCTTTGCCAAGAGACGTTGTTATCATCGATATTAACGATATAATTATGAATATTATGAGCAATGTTAACAGAACAACTGCAGTTATCGATAATATTGTTTTTTCGATATATTATTTCAACAGGTTGTGGTGCCGCCCTGTCAAATCATTTGCATAGTTTCCCAATATCATTCGGACGCTGTATGTACTAGTGCTGGGAAAAGATCGATCTTTACGTAGATCGATATTTCGATATTATGTATGGGTCTCAGATCGATGTATCGATATTTTCATAAACATATTTTAGCTCCCAAAATTAAAAAAAAAGTTTTCATATAAAAAACAAAAGATGAATTTCTTATTAAAATTAAAAAACGTTTCATATAAACTAAACTAAACTATGTAACAAAGATTATATTATTTAATAAGATCATTTACTTCGTCCAATCATTTTTGTTTATGAAGAGCAGCATATCTACTTGCTGCGGCTTGAGACAAGCCTCTCCATTTTCCTTATCCGCGTCGCAATCTACAAACAAATGCGTGTTTGTTACATTATTTTAAAACGCAAAAGCTGCAGACCACGTGTGTGGCTGACATAAGCAGTAAAATAATATTTACCTTCGCCATTGTCCTTGCTGTTTAAAAACTTATCCATTTCTCTACAACACTACCAACACCAAAATCCTAAATGAAAAGTGGGTTACGTTAGTATTTGAATTATATTGTTAAAATAATTTGCAAATTACCTGACAGTCTTATCCCACGCTTTTAATTCAAGTGATGGGGAATTAATGGTATAGTGATGGCGATATATCAAGTATCGAAGTTTTCTACATCGATATTTTCGATGGATATGAAACATCGATATATCGTTTGCTAGATCGATCTTTTTCCCAGCACTGGTATGTACACGGTGCACGTACGTACGTACGACGTGATACTTAAAGTAATTAAAAATTCATACGCCTATTTAATGAAGCTAGATTTGGGTTACCTTACAATTTTCCAACGAATTGAAAAGTGTCAGTCAATACATAATGTGCCGTTAATTGAAAAAGATGAACTCGTATTTCACTTATCTTAAGCATAAAGATACGCAATTATACACATACGTACGTACATACATACGTACATATACGGAAAATAAGAGAGATGTGTTGCAATTTAAACTTTCATATTATTCCATGTATATATATATATATATATATGTATATTAGGAAATATGCAACCACCTGTTGACTTTGCAGCCCTGCATCACAACAAAATTGTATTGAATCAACTACTTCCCAAAGTTACATATAATTATATATAAAAATAATGTATATGAACAAGCATTGAAGAATTTAGGTGGGTTGTAAGATGAATCAGCATCGAGACGATCGAGATATTTAGCATAAGTGCTATTAGAGATTAGTTGAAGTCAGTTGACTACTTTGTGTGCGTATTTCATATATATTTGGCAAGGCCTAATTGGGGGAAATGATAAACCTTATGCCTGGCTTCATTTCCCCTAGTTACGCCTCGCAAAATATGTATCAAATGCGCACAGGAAGTAGTTAACTCCTTCTAGGTCTAGGCTAGGAATAGTCAAAGGGCCAAGTAAAACGTGGCTATGTGACTCACTCATAAACTCTAGAATATTAGATACAGATACACAGCTAATTATATTAAAATACAAATAATATTAACGGCTACCTAACATGAATAGACTACGCATATTATGAAGCATTAAACAGCTAACTCAAATTAATATTTGTTTGTGTAGATAGGTGCAACAACTAGATAAGTAAGCAACCGTCCGCGTGTTGCTCATTAGTAGGTCGAATATTAGATACATTTTGAATGTATGTATATTAATAGTAATAAATGTCCCTAAATATAGTTTTATTCTGATAATTCTTTGGCTATAAATTTATATTTTTTATACATTTAAAATAAATATATATCCTCTTTCTTCTAGTATTGAATCTCACAGGAATATTCTTACAGAGTAATCTCATTAAAAACATACAAATAACCATCATGTATCCATATGTAAGTAGCCTTTTAATCACATTGTATTGTTTTACTCACTAAAGTAAGAGCAATCACGACATTCCTTGAATAATGTAAATTTTTTTAATTTCCTGCGTGGAAAGAATACAAAAAAAAAAAAAAAAAAAAAATGTGGACACGTCAGTCACAATAAGTCATATTTTAACATATCGTGCATATCGAGTTTGCGATATGTCAAATAGTTCCCTTTGGGGTGGATTTGAGATCCGGTTACATGAAAAACTTTTGTTGAATGAAGATTTGATTTCGTATATAAACATATACATTATATAAGCTATCAAAGGGTCTTGTCCTTTGATACTACGTCAAAGAGTATATTTATGTTACATATACATATTTTGAAATTTTCGTATGTATGTACTCATATATATATGCATACATTCCTGTCCAAAATTGTATTTTCTGCTAAGCCAATGGTAGTTTCTTTGATAAACTTATTTATTTTGCATATAGTGTCTATTCCGCCTATTCCATTGTTTTGACTTTTGTAGAGTTCTGGAATGCCATATTCATCGCATCCATCCACTAGTGAGCAACCTAAGGTGCCGTTTGGAGTTGGTTGGGTCCCTGCACCAGTGCAGCAGATCGTTCCACATTGCACGCCATACCCACTGCCAGCCACACAATCCAATCAGCAGCAACAAGAACAACAGTTCCGACAAAATCGAAATATCCAACATGCCGGCGGCGTTACTAGCTGCCCGTATCCACCCACATCAGCACCATACCCTGATAGCACACAATATCCGATCAATCATGCACAGAGTATGCCGATCAATCAGCATAGCCAAAGCCAATTCAATCAGCATCCAAATGCAACCTATTCAGCTGGATACACGCCAGCCATGACGTCAGCATATGGATATGATTCTTCTAATTATCATGCCCAGCAGCAGGGTCGTGGCAACGTACAGAGTTTTGGGCATGATCAAGTGCAGCCACGGGGGCATGGGCATGAGCATGGGCATGGGTATGGGTATGGGTATAGTCATGAGCACGTGCAGCAGTCACTCAATCCACGCCTTACGGCTAACAAAGAGGTTTGTTCTTCCATGTGCAAAATCTCGCATTAATCAGTCTACACTAAGTCCAAAAATATTATTAAATTTAGTTCATTGTCAGTTGCATATATCTTTTTATTTCAGGGAACTCCCACTTTGTTGCCGGCTCAAGCCTTTGATCCCGTCAAGGATGCGCACGATTTGCGCAAAGCGATGAAAGGCTTTGGCACAGATGAGGATAAGCTCATCGAGATAATTTGTCGTCGCAACAACGAACAGCGCCAGGAGATCCAGCGCCAATACAAAACTCACTTCGGCAAGGATCTAATTGAAGACATCAAAGGGGAGACGAGTGGTAATTTCCAAAAACTACTAGTTGGCCTCTTACGCCCAATCGTCGACTACTATTGTGCCGAGTTGAACGATGCCATGGCCGGTCTTGGCACCGATGAGGAAGTTCTAATTGAAATTCTGTGCACCTTATCCAATGTTGAAATTCATACCATCAAAAATCAATATTTGCGTTGTAAGTTTCACTAGATTTGGCATGGCCGTCAGACTGTTTGTTAATGCTTTATGCAAACTTATTAAGTGTTTGGTGCACACTTGGAATCGGAGCTGAAATCGGAGACCTCCGGTAACTTCAAGCGCTTGCTCATTTCGCTTTGCGCTGCGGCGCGAGACGAGAGTGGTCGTGTGGACCCCAACAAGGCCAAAGAGGATGCTCGAGAGCTGCTCAAGGCTGGTGAACTACGTGTGGGCACCGATGAGAGCATGTTCAACATGATACTTTGCCAAAGGAACTATCAGCAACTGAAACTTGTAAGCTATTTATCAGAATGTCCTCTGAGCCAATCAACATTCGATGCACACTCTTTTCAGATATTCCAGGAGTACGAGAGTATAACTGGACACTCGCTGGAGAAGGCGATCAAAAAAGAATTCTCTGGCGATATTATGGAGGGCCTTATCGCCATCTACAAGTGTGTGACAAACAAGGCAGAGTATTTCGCCTCGCGCTTACACAAGTCCATGGCTGGCATTGGCACCAATGACAAACAGTTGATACGAGTTATCATAACACGCTGCGAGGTAAATCTGGACTATATAATTGTTCATATCTACATCCTGGGACACATGCAAATTCATTTTAATTCAAGAATGTGAAATGAGTATATTGGTTTTGTTCAACGTCTGATCGTCTGTCCCTACGTACCGATGAGTGCAAAATGTTTCGTCGCTATTAAAGTAAAAGAATTATATAGTGATTTTTAGAATCCGCCCATTAGGGGAGTGGCGTTTTCTGGTATCTGAGAAACCATGGTAGTTGCGTGTCGAATACTAAATTACTACTGATATTAGTAATTAGTATGGAAAATGACAAATATATTTATATACCGATTGGGGTCGTGGTGAATCGGAAATTTGATCTAGCAGGGCTTGGGCCATGATTTAGTAAAGGTAACGCCCGACCGCAACGCTCTTAATTGTTTTAATTTATCCTGCAGATTGACTTGGCTGACATTAAAGTGGCTTTCGAGCGTTTGTATGGCAAATCGTTAAAGAGCTGGATAAAGGTAAGCATATATGTATGTTGTACATACATTTATTCATAACGATTTTCAATTGGGCTTTGAATATGATGTTTTATATACTCTCTTATAGGGTGACACTTCTGGACATTACAAGCACGCTCTTTATGCATTGGTGGGAGAGCAGCGCTCATCTTAAATTTATGAATAATTCTATATTTCTACTATATTACATATTATTGATTACGAAGTAACTACTTTATTTTAATAAGACAATGGAATTACCATTCAAGACATCCCAGTGCAAAATAGTATCTAAATTGTTCAAAGTGTGCCTCGAAAAACAATAACCCTTAAGCATACGCATTTACATTTAGAAGCAAAGAATTATCTTTAGACATTGTAATGAAACGCTTTTCTTATCTAATGTCAATTTCTTGAATTGGAACTGCTTTTTAGACTCTGTATGCATATATATATATATATATATATATATATATATATATATATATATATATATATATATATATATATATATATATATATATATATATATATATATATATATATACGTATATATATATTATTTTATTAAAAAAAACACGGTCTTTTTCAATTACAATTATAGCTATTATTCATAATTTATGGGCGGGATAAAGATATATATGATTATTTTTATTAGAAATTTATGTAAATATAGGCTAAAGTTAGTTTTTGTGAATGAATTTTTTGACTATTTAATATTCTGCATTTATTTGAGAACCCGCACTTCGACGAAGAGCGAATCGTTACGTAAATAGTTGCGACTGGTGATGACCTTGTGTGGTATATGGAAGTACTGATTACTCTGTATATAATCATCGCTCTTCTTTCGCACGTAGATCGTCTTGACATAGTCCTGTGCCTCCAACGCTACTCCACTTTGATCCCGTATAATGATCTCGGCCTGCAGGCGACATGGCCAATTCAGAAGTGGATCATATTCGCCAGATAGCACATTTAAGCATGCAATTAGATTGCGTCCTTTCCAAGTACCCTTGCCATTTAAATAGATATCCAGCTGCAATCGATATGTGTTTATCGATCTATGGTTTATCTACACACATACAACTTACACGCAAGGCGTATCCAAAAGCCTTGTTGGAGAACATGGCACTATGCAGTATGGTATCATACTGCTTGGCCTCCTCTAATTTCTTTGAATAGTCCTTAATGCGCCAAATCAGATGACCTGAAATTTGTAAAAAAAATTTCAACTTTTTCATCTATTCGATACTACTAAATAAACTATTTTTATACTCATTTACGAAATTAATATGAGTATATTGGTTTTGATTTAGTACACGAGTTTTATTGATAGCTCTTTAAAAAAAAGTCAAACCTAGACTTTTGTTATACTTTGGGGTTACTATATCCAAATATATTTATTTTTATACTCTGAACCCATTGAGAACGGGAAATCAGACTATAATGTTTTTGGGAAAATGTATGTATGTAACACCCAGAATATATATATGTATGTATATACATATATTCTTTATCAGAGTGACGAGCTGAGCCTTGTCCGTCCATTTTGAGAACCGTCTTAAAATTTTTGTAAGAAATACAACAAAAAATATATGGTTTTAAGCAATTAAGTTCTTGTAAAAAGCACACACTGCTACCCATGCATGTTTAAGCGTGGGTGTGCGCGTATGCTATTTCTTTACTAGATATATCTTCGGTGTATATTGAATTCATCATTCGGATTTGCTCATCTCTTATACGGGTTTTATCTGCGGAATTTTTTTATATTTCCGTCTAAATAATTTGAGAATGTCCTAATCTCACTATTTTCTTATATTTTGTATAGTGTATGTTTGTAAAATGCTTATGATACTGGTAATATCTCACCTCTTATATTCTGAACGCTTGCAATGCGCTGCTGCATGGCCATCTGGTTCTCGATGTCCGAAATGCTTTGCATTGTTTGATGAAGTGCCTTATCGAGATCTTGGATAATGCTTTGGAGCTTATCGCACCGCTCTTCAGTTTCACACATAATACTCTTCACATTTTTGACTTCGTAGTCCAATGTGGCTTGCTTCGAGGTGGATAGATCCGAGGAGCCCAACTTAATTTTAATATCCTCGTTGATTTCCTGTAGAAACTGCTCGATCCGCATAAACTTATCACTAAAAAAAAAAAATAAGGTACAATGCAAACGAAACTTGCAATGATGATTCGAACAAGTAATTCAAACTTACTGATTGATCCTCTCATTTTCAAAAACAATTTCCTCCAACTTCATAATATTATCATTCAGCTGGTTCTGATGGAAGCTCACATCCGAGGACAGTTGGTTAATATACTGTTGCAAATCGTTCATTTTCGTTTCCAATTGTTCCTTCAGCGACTTTATAGAAATCGACTAAATATATTATACATATATATTTTTTTTAAATCGAGTGTACTGCATTACCTGGGTTATGCTGCAACAATATTGAAAATCCACTTGGTTTTGCTCTGTGGCTAATGTGCGCTGTGCCCTTTCCTCGTCGAGCTGCTGCCGTAGCTCGGCGATACAGTCGTCCGTTTCCCGGGTCCAGTCCTCGACCACATTATTGTGTTTTCGTATGTTGCCTACGTCCGTGATCAGATGCAGACGCTGTCGTATTTCCTCATTGAGCACGGAACGTATAGTTGATATGTCCTGTTCTAGCACCTGGACACGGTGATCGGCAAATTGATCCAAGCGCTCCATGCTGGCAGTGAGACGCTGCATTTTCTGCTGATGCTTGCCGCGCTGACACTCTTTCAGATGGGATCGCATACGGATGCGAGGTATGAACACGTTACAGCTGTTTGGACACTCCTCTAGCACTTGGCCGCAGTGTATGAGGTGTTCCTATAAAATTTCCAATACAATACAATTTATCGAATCTATTACGCAGAACTGTGAACACACCGTAAAAGTCTGGGCGTCGAACCACTCGTTGCAGAAGAGACACGACGATTTCTCATATTTCACGATGGTCGTTGATTTGGGCTGCTGGATTAATCGATCGTCCGCAGCCTTACTAAGTGACATCATTCCCCCACGCGCTTTGTCCACAAAACAAACTGAATTTGCCGTTACGTGAACCGTCTCTGAACATACTGAATTCAGCAAAAAAAAAAAAAAAAAAAAATAAAATAGCTATATGTACACGCTCATATATACATACATACATATAAAGATGATTAAGAATTGCCTTCGACATAGTCACACACACATATACATATGTATATAGATATGCGTTGGGTTATGTATGTGTGGCATTCACGCCATACTGTGCTGAGGGAGGTCCCAGATAAAGCTGCACCAACTGCCTGGAGACTACATACATATGTACATATATAGTAAACTTGCTTCAATGAAAGCCACTAGCCCGACAGTTACCATTTACTCTGCCATTCGTTTCTGTCTCGTTTGAGCAAGGAATAAGTTGAAAGCGTTCACCTGTTTCGACAATATAAAAACCTACACACATACATACACATAGATATCATTATCAATGGAAATAACTGTACAATCAAATATTTTGGCATTGCAACAGTAAGCCAATTTCACAACAAAGCCAACAAAACAAAGATACCGCGACTGGTACTGGGTAAATACGAATTATAGTTACCCTGCACAAATATTGCCTAGTAGTCGGTGTATTCATAGTAGACTAGAGGAAGGGGAGACTAGCCTATTCATAGTAGACTAACTACTAGCTTCCGAACACGATATAAAGATTCATATGAATATCGTATTAAATCAGAGCAAAATATTTGTGTACATTCGAATTACAATGAGCAAAATGAAAACATTACAATGCATTGCCTACTATTCATTTTTTGTTGCTCATAATTATCATTAATTTTGCTCAAATTCTACTTTGATTTGGCTCTTCAATTATAATATATTTCGATATAAATAAACCGAGCGCTAAAATTAAGCAAAATATTTTTGAGATGTTATAAATTGTAGTCTCCATGTTATATCATTATCGATATGATCAACTTGACTCGAAATTTCTCTGAACTTGGTTTCTTTTCGAAAATAAGTTTAGATAGTAAATGTTCAGCTCACAATTTATAGGTCGTGTCAGTTCTGAAACATTTAACCGTATTATAGTTTTTATACCCTGGACCCATTGAAAATGGTAAATCAGTGTATAAGGGTTTGGTAAATGTATGTAACAGGCAGAAGGAGGCGTGGCAGACTCCATGAAGTATTAATTATATGCAGTCTCGACTAGAGCTTTCTTACTTGCATATATGTTATTAAAGTTGGTCTGCTCAATCAATTGTTTCATGCCCCATAAGCTGATTGTCGCAATCTGTTAAATGGTGGGCCACCCATTAGCTGAATGCACGAATTGCAGGGTATTCTTATCGTATCTACATATGTGCTAAATAAACAAATATATGAGTGTATAAGCAATTCATGTATCTATATTTCTAATTTCCAGTACCGCCCCATGGTTGGCATAAAATGTGATTCCGTTTATCTTCCGTGAGCTGTCGCAGGGCACTTTTTATCATCGTTGTGTTTGATGATCAGTTAGCTTCGTAGGTCGACCTCGTAGTTCGAGTTTTGGAAAAAAAGAAATATTTACAGTCGCCAAAAAAAGTTTAGGTACACAACGATTTTTATACCCTGAGCCCATTTTCAATGGGAAATTAGGGTATAATGGTTTTATTGAAATGTATGTAACAGGCAGAAGGAGGCGTGGCAGACCCCACAAAGTATATATATTCTTGATCAGGGCGACGAGCTGAGTTGATTTGGCCCTGTCCGTCTGTCTGTCCGTGTGTATGAACGCGTCGATTTCAGAAGATATAAGAGCTAGATACTTCAAATTTTTAAAATGTCCGTAATTACAGCGCGGATATCAAGTTTATCATTAACAATCGATAACTCATCCCGATTATCGATAAAAAACCTTATCGAAAACCAGTTATAAAATTATATCTCCTACACCTTTATTGCTAGAGTCTCCAAATTTTATGTATGCTTATAAGCAATTTATGCAATTTCGGTTTTTGTTAAAATTTACCCCCCACCCCCATATCCACCCCCTGTACCAAGTGTGTAAACAAAAGTGTTGATGCGATCTTTTCAATTATTTATTTGGCCACATAAAAACCATACAATTAACTTATTTCAATAAAAAACAGTTGAATTCGACTATATAATATGTAAAAAAAAAAAAAAAACAGAAAAACATGCCAAAAAAGTTTAGGAACACTTAAAAAAGAAAACTATCTATAAATATGTATTAATATTTAGTGGGACCGCCTTTTGCAGCAATTACTGCAAGCAGTCGACGACGCATACTTCGCACTAAGGGTTTGATGTGATTTTCAATGATTTTAACCTATTCGGAGCTCAAAACTGACTTTAGGGAATCTTTTGAGGATATTTTATATTTCCGGATCCTTTTATCCAGTAAATTCCAAATGTGCTCAATTAGATTGAGGTCAGGATATTGTGGCGGGGTATGTAACTGCTTTGTGTTATATAAAAGCCACTCCCTCACAAGATAAGAGATGTGTTTCGGGTCATTATCTTGCTGAAAATAATAATGGCCGTCACCTAACTGGAGCTGAGTCGCGTTCTCCTTGAGATTATCTTTCAATACTCCCAAATAGTATCTATAAATACCAGTTTCCCAACTCCAGATGTGACCATACACCCCCAGACCATCGCGTTTCCACCTCCATGCTTCACAGTTGCAGTTAAATTTTTTAGCTGTAGAGCAGTATTGCATTTTCTCCATACTTTTTTTAGCCCTATCTGCGCCAAAAATGTTAAATTTTGATTCGTCACTCCAAATTACTGAATCCCAAAATGAGTCTGGCTTGTTTAGGTGCTTCTGAGCAAATGCTGGGCGTTTTTTTGGCGTGGGAAATCAAAGGTTTCGCACAGTTTGTGGAGGCACGCTAACTCCTGAGGTTAGAAATATATCCTCCTGTATTTTTGGCGCAGATGTTTTTGGATCCGTGTTTATTGTGGCCAGGATTTGGCGTTTATCTCTGACAATCAATTTTTCAAGACGGCCTGATCTTGGTTGTACTTCAAGTGCTGCCGGTTTTCCGTGGGCCATTATTATATTTTGCACACTGGAAGAAGATCGCCCAATCGTTGAGCCAATTTCGTGTACTCCTTTCCCTTCTAAGTAGAGATATATTATTATTTGATGCGTTTCTAGTGGGATTTGCTTTCCTCGACCCATATTGACCAATTACTCTCGAAAAAAATGACAAAGCGAAATTGCAATTCATAATAACTCAAGTATGTAACTCGAAGAAGAGAAATGAAGAAAATTTACCGTTTGAAATGTTAAAATTCACCTAACTCAGATGAAGTGTACCTAAACTTTTTTGCCTGCATTTAGGTAGTTTAAGCCTTTTTTGGTGCATAAAAAGGTCATACATAAAGCAACCAAATTTTATTTTTCCTATTTCATAAATAAATACCTCTCTTATATATAAACTAATCTTAATTCATTAATTGTCATATAAGTGAAAGGGTATTTTTAACAATGAATGTTGATTTAAGGACCCTGACGTTGCTTTGCCCTATCCATTATTTCTAGGGAATATTTTGCACTTAAATACAAAATAACTAATTTACTATATGTGTGTGGGGATGCCGTTATAGTCGAAAGCGTTGTAAACAACCGAAGTATGCTTTATTATACCCTGAACCCATTGAAAATGGGAAATCAGAGCATAATGGTTTTGTTAAATGTATGTAACAGGCAGAAGGAGGCGTGGCAGACCCAATAGAGTATATATATTCTTGATCAGGGCGACAAGCTGAGTTGATATAGCTCTGTCCGTCCGTAAGAGAGCGTCGATTTCAGAAGTTATAAGAGCTAGAGAGCTCTGGCATGCATACTCGTGTGTACCATACGCAGTACAAGTTTATCATATTTTTCCGATAACTCATCCGATAACTTTTTTATCGAGAATAATCGAAAAATTGATTTTGTTTTTTTCAGCCAAATTTGAGCACTTTTAGACCTAGAGACTTCAGATTTCCTGTGTATATACAGTTGACGGATACAAAGATTTTGTAATTTACAGATTTTGGATACCACGCCCCCTTCGCCCTTAATTTGTAAAAAAACGTATTTCAAGTACTAGAGACTTGTGCTTAGGAATGCAAAATGTATAATGAATGTATATTTAATTGCTTTATACGCTCTGTTGAAAAATTTTTACGTTTCATTTACATAGAATCAAAAAGTTCGATATTGTTGTTCTGAATTAAATATAAATCATATCCTAGTTTAGTTAGTTCCATGTTATTAACGCTTGGTTCGTTCATTGAAAATTGAATTTCTGAACTATTTGGCTTTAATTTGACTACAATGACAAAAACTTCACTCTTCATACGAATTATCCCTACAAAATATGAAAATTTGCTCAATATATAAACAAGTAAGAAAGCTCTAGTCGAGACTGCTCGACTACGAGATTACCTGAACCCTTCGAGCAATAGCTATTTCAATCATTTTTTGCGTATTTCTGCTTACACAAGAAACACGCAGCGCGACGAGCTGAGTCGATATAGCCCTGTCCGTCTGTCCGTCCGTCCGTCCGTATGAGTGCGTCGATCTCAGAAGTTATAAGAGCTAGAGAGAAATTTGGCATGCATACTCGTGAGTACCATACGCAGTACGAGTTTGCTTTATTTTTTCGATAAATCGTCCGATAACTTTTTTATCGAGAATAATCGAAAAATTCATTTTGTTTTTTTAGCCTAATTTGAACACTTTTAGACCTGGAGTCTTCAAATTTGCGTTGTATATAAAGACAATCGATACAAAGATTTTGTCATTTACAGATTTTGGATACCACGCCCCCTTTCCCCCCAATTTACAAAAAACGCACTTGTGCTTTGGAATGTACACACATATTTACCATATGATTACGTTCTAAAAGTTTCATTAAGATCGTATGTCTACAAAAGAAATTATTCAACAAAGAAATTCTCATAATATTGCCCACACTGCAGCGCAGCCCAAGCGCAGTCGCTGCTTACTGCGCAGTTAGCAGAGCACGGGCTTATGCGTGCGTGTGGATGCATGTGCATAAAAGAAGTGCAGAATGATTAGAATATCAGCTTAGAGGGTTCAGGGTATCTCCTAGTCGAGCAGTCTCGACTGGAGCCTTCTTACTTGTTTTCTGATGTAATTGTACTTGCAGCTTTAATTTCCATTGTTGGTGGCGCTGCTGTGGTCATCACTGGAGAGTTTGAGTCGGTATTGTCGCTTTTCTCTTCAGCTGCACTTCCATTCGCTGTTGCAGTCTCCGCAGAAGTTTGCTGTTCCGTCGTGCTGCCAACTGTGGAAATATCATCCATTGGTCGAATTGGTCCATTGGTCCAATTGGATATCTGTTGATGTATCTTCAGTGATACTCAACGTCGATGTCGAAGCTGCATCTTCTATGTGCTCCGGATCCTTTGTCGGAGTTGGTGGAGCCCAGATCTTTTTTATTGATCTCTTGTCTTCACCTATATTTGGTTTTGTTGTTACCACTTGAACTTTATTACCTTGTTCAGTAGCTTCAGTTATTTTTCCTGCCATATGGG